TACTACACCCACCACAGTAGTATACATCCCGGTGAGCTCAGTATACTACACCCACAGTATATCCCGGTGAGCTCAGTATACTACACCCACAGTATATCCCGGTGAGCTCAGTATACTACACCCACAGTATATCCCGGTGAGCTCAGTATACTACACCACAGTATATCCCGGTGAGATCAGTATACTACACCACAGTGAGCTCAGTATACTACACCCACAGTACATCCCGGTGAGCTCAGTATACTACACCAACAGTATATCCCGGTGAGCTCAGTATACTACACCCACAGTATATCCCGGTGAGCTCAGTATACTACACTCACAGTATATCCCGGTGAGCTCAGTATACTACACCCACAGTATATCCCGGTGAGCTCAGTATACTACACCCACAGTATATCCCGGTGAGCTCAGTATACTACACCCACAGTATATCCCGGTGAGCTCAGTATACTACACTCACAGTATATCCCGGTGAGCTCAGTATACTACACCCACAGTATATCCCGGTGAGCTCAGTATACTACACTCACAGTATATCCCGGTGAGCTCAGTATACTACACTCACAGTATATCCCGGTGAGCTCAGTATACTACACCCACAGTATATCCCGGTGAGCTCAGTATACTACACTCACAGTATATCCCGGTGAGAAAAGTATACTACCACCACCACAGTATATTCCGGTGAGCTCAGTATACTACACCCACAGTATATCCCGGTGAGCTCAGTATACTACACCCACAGTATATCCCGGTGAGCTCAGTATACTACACCCACAGTATATCCCGGTGAGCTCAGTATACTACACCCACAGTATATCCCGGTGAGCTCAGTATGCTACACTCACAGTATATCCCGGTGAGCTCAGTATACTACACCCACAGTATATCCCGGTGAGCTCAGTATAGGTTTTAATTTTACATTTTAACTATTATAAATATTTTAAGCATTACGAGTTTCACATTTTTAAGTGTTAAGAACAATTTCAAATCGTAATTCTTTTGTTTGTTTGGTAGAGTTTTCAGATTTTATTTGTACATGATGTGAGACAAAGATTTATTGTTGTACAGTTGTACAGGATGAACAAGACGAAGGAATGGGTTAAGCACTACTGGTGAACTCTTCAAGTCAATGATGGGGGTAAATATGAGGCTTAAGTAAGGCAAATAACTACTAACTTAATACAATGTGCACAAGGTAATGGAGGGTAAAACTTATGGAGGTTCTGGGGTAAAGAACAATCTAAAGGGAAAACTAGATAACGCAAGGTGTTACTGGAGAACATTCCGAAGGGAAGGCATCAGACACTATTGAAGTCACCGAGGTGAAAGATCAAATCTCATTAAAGATTCTCCGAGGTCGTAAGCACTGAGGGACACGTTCAAGGGAGTGCCTGAGGACACGCACGTGATGAAGACAACAACACTTCGCTATGAAAGTCCAAACCTCAACAACTCACTGAGAGGAAAGCCAAGAATGGGCGAGTCGTCGGTGTGGATAACGTCGACGAAGGACGCGTCAGAGGGGTCGAGCCGTGTGATGGTGTGAGTGTCGTTGAAGTAGGGCTCCGCGGGGTCCAGGGCCGTGATCCTGGGCAGCTGGAGGCCGTAGATCTCCTTCAGGTAGGTGCCTGTGTGTCCGCTCAAGTGGGACCCCAAACTGTGGCCGATCAGGTGGAAAGACGAGATGGGTACGTCGGCAAATTTCTGCAAAATGAAGGATGTAGTCGATCAGTCTTGTAGTGCGTGGCTGATTGAAATCAACGGTGTTTATGCAATAGTGTACGGAAGGTTTCATTGTTTGGATTACTTTGACGTGTTTTTTTCTACATTTTGACTTACTAAAACACACATACACACACACACGCATACAGGGAGGGGAGGAAATGTGGGGAGCAAAGTTAGTGGATGTTATGGACAGAAATTTCCAAACACAGCATGTGATGAAAGACACAAGGGAAAGAGGTGGGGATACACCGAGCCTATTAGACCTGATTATCACCCAGAACGTTGAAGACATCGAGAATTGGGAACATGAAATACCATTAGGAGCCAGCGACCATTGTGTCCTAGTCTTTAACTACATGATGGAACTTAAAATTGTCATCACGGGACAAGAGGTCTGGGAAGGTAGAGTTAACTACAGAAAAAGGGACTACAGGAGGATAAGGGACTATCTGCGAGAAGTGCAGTGGGAGGAAGAATTTAGAGGACAAACAGTCTAAGATATGATGGACCTAGTCATACGGAAATGCCAGGAGGCCGAAGATAGTTTTATACCAACAGTAAAGGAAAAAAGCAGGAGGGAATATAATAACCCATGTTTTAATAGACAGTGTCAGGAAGCAAAAATGAGAAGCAGGCGGGAGTGGAGGAAGTACAGAAGACAAAGGACAGAGGACAACAGGATCAGATGCAACAGAGCTAGGAACAATTACATTAACAAAAGAAGAGTACCGGAAAGACATTATGAGAACGATATTGCGATCAAAGCGAAAAAGCAACCGAAATTACTACACAGTCATATAAGTAGAAAAATGTCGGTGAACGACCAAGTGACAAGACTAAGGAAAACAGAGGGGTTATATAGGAAAGTGACAAGGAAATCTGAGAGTCACTGAATGCCAGTTTCCATGGAGTATTCACAACCGAGCCTGAGCAGCTCCCATTGTTAGAAGAGATTACCCTAGATGAAAGACTATCAGATATAGAGGTGACAGCAGAGGAGGTAATGAAACAGTTGACAACACTGGATGCAACTAAAGCAGTTGGACCAGACAAAGTATCACCGTGGATACTAAAAGAGGCAGCGCAGGCCCTCAGCGTGCCTCTGGCAAGAATTTTTAATGAGTCACTTATGTCGGGAGAATTGCCCAGTTGCTGGAAGAAGGCAAATATGGTACCTATTTTCAAGAAAGGAGATAGGGAGGAGGCACTTAACTACAGACCCGTATCACTGACAAGCATCCCCTGCAAAATACTTTTTTTTTGCAGGGATATTCCTGCGCGGGCCCTAAGCCTCTGGCTGGCCCACTAAGTGTTGCTTGTTTCTGTTTTACTTGGGCGGAGTATGAGTATTTATGACTCGTATGGTCGCTTTAGTAAGATTTTGCCATATGTGGCAAAATACTTGAAAGAATTATCATGCTAAGACTTGTTGAGCACCTGGAGAAGATTAGGTTTGTAAACAAACACCAACAAGGGTTCAGGGAAGAGAAATCATGCCTAAGAAACCTTCAAGAATTTTATGATAAAGTAACAAGAATAAGGCAGGACAGGGAAGGGTGGGCAGACTGCCAAAAACACACACATATGACACACACACACAAACACACATACGACGCACATTGAGGGAGTGTATGAGGTAGGCGAGCTGGGCTCCCACCATCCTGATGTTAGCCACCGCCTGGGTGTAGGGCGGCCGGGCCCCGACGCTCCACTCCACCACTATAACGTTCTGGTCGCTGGCCCGCAGCAGCTCCCCCGTCAGCATCTGCGTCGGGAGACAACACAAAGGATTACATTACACATCCACACTATATGTGTATCGCTGTCTATATAAGCTCTTCTCATAATATTTTATAACATTAAATACCGTCTAGCATTTACTTCCGAGTTTAAATCTTTTCAGACGCAATATTTGAGGTTAAAATTATTTTAAGGATCCATCTATGAGTTTGAATCTTAATTTCAAAATATGTTACAGGGGGGTTGAATGTTAGATAGTTATTTAGCAAGACATGTGTACAAAGGCGTTGATAAAACTATGCTGCCCGATACACGTTGAAGATCTTATTCATTGTTCAGGCGACGACCAGGTAGTGATGTAGGACCTTTGCTCCCTGCACCTTTGTACCATAGGTCGTGGAGGCGGTCCCGCCCTGTCTTAAAGCTCTCTTATCACGGAGTAGTCACTGCTCTTATCTTAAGAGTAGTTGACTCGCCCTATCTTAAGCCTCTCGTATCTTAGAGCATCCACTGCCATTATCTAAAGAGTAACGATTACGCTCGCTTTGTGCTGTTGGAATGTCGCATACAGAGATGCATTATTTGGTGAGCTTGGTGGGGCGGAGAGGGCTGGGGTGGGGCGGAGAGGGCTGGGGAGGGGAAGGTGAGGGCTGGGGTGGGGAAGGTGAGGGCTGGGTGAGGAAGGTGAGGGCTGGGGTGGGGAAGGTGAGGGCTGGGGAAGGTGAGGGCTGGGGTGGGGAATGTGAGGGCTGGGGTGGGGAAGGTGAGGGCTGGGGTGGGGAATGTGAGGGCTGGGGTGGGGGAGGTGAGGGCTGGGGTGGGGAAGGTGTGGGCTGGGGGGGAGGAGAGGGCTGGGGTGGGGAAGGTGAGGGCTGGGGTGGGGGAGGTGAGGGCTGGGGTGGGGAAGGTGAGGGCTGGGGGGGAGGAGAGGGCTGGGGTGGGGAAGGTGAGGGCTGGGGTGGGGAAGGTGTGGGCTGGGGGGGAGGAGAGGGCTGGGGTGGGGAAGGTGAGGGCTGGGGTGGGGGAGGTGAGGGCTGGGGTGGGGAAGGTGTGGGCTGGGGGGGAGGAGAGGGCTGGGGTGGGGAAGGTGAGGGCTGGGGTGGGGGAGGTGAGGGCTGGGGTGGGGAAGGTGTGGGCTGGGGTGGGGAAGGTGTGGGCTGGGGTGGGGAAGGTGAGGGCTGGGGGGGAGGTGAGGGCTGGGGTGGGGAAGGTGTGGGCTGGGGGGGAGGAGAGGGCTGGGGTGGGGAAGGTGAGGGCTGGGGTGGGGAAGGTGAGGGCTGGGGTGGGGGAGGTGAGGGCTGGGGTGGGGAAGGTGTGGGCTGGGGGGGAGGTGAGGGCTGGGGTGGGGAAGGTGTGGGCTGGGGGGGAGGAGAGGGCTGGGGTGGGGAAGGTGAGGGCTGGGGTGGGGAAGGTGAGGGCTGGGGTGGGGAAGGTGAGGGCTGGGGTGGGGAAGGTGTGGGCTGGGGTGGGGAAGGTGAGGGCTGGGGTGGGGAGGAGAGGGCTGGGGTGGGGAAGGTGAGGGCTGGGGTGGGGAAGGTGAGGGCTGGGGTGGGGAAGGTGAGGGCTGGGGTGGGGAGGAGAGGGCTGGGGTGGGGAAGGTGAGGGCTGGGGTGGGGAAGGTGAGGGCTGGGGTGGGGAGGAGAGGGCTGGGGTGGGGAAGGTGAGGGCTGGGGTGGGGAAGGTGAGGGCTGGGGTGGGGAAGGTGAGGCTGGGGTGGGGAATGTGAGGGCTGGGGTGGGGAAGGTGAGGGCTGGGGTGGGGAAGGTGAGGGCTGGGGTGGGGAAGGTGAGGGCTGGGGTGGGGAATGTGAGGGCTGGGGTGGGGAAGGTGAGGGCTGGGGTGGGGAGGAGAGGGCTGGGGTGGGGAAGGTGAGGGCTGGGGTGGGGAAGGTGATGGCTGGGGTGGGGAAGGTGAGGGCTGGGTGGGGAAGGTGAGGGCTGGGGTGGGGAAGGTGAGGGCTGGGGTGGGGAAGGTGAGGGCTGGGGTGGGGAAGGTGAGGGCTGGGGTGGGGAGGAGAGGGCTGGGGGAGGAGTGACAACTTACCTTAACCCAGGGGACGGTGCCGTAGGAGAGGTACCCGTGGGAGATGACGGTGAAGGGTCGGCCAGGGATGAAGGGCGCGTTGACCACACTGTTCAGGCTGCCCGGGTCCAGCGTCTGGTGACCACAACACCACGGTTAAGGCTCGCCCGTCCCAAGCTGGGACACCTGACCCAAGCTGGGACACCTGACCCAAGCTGGGACACCTGACCCAAGCTGGGACACCTGCCCCTAGCTGGGACACCTGACCCAAGCTGGGACACCTGACCCAACCTGGGACACCTGACCCAAGCTGGGACACCTGACCCAAGCTGGGACACCTGACCCAAGCTGGGACACCTGACCCAACCTGGGACACCTGACCCAACCTGGGACACCTGACCCAAGCTGGGACACCTGACCCAAGCTGGGACACCTGACCCAACCTGGGACACCTGACCCAAGCTGGGACACCTGACCCAAGCTGGGACACCTGACCCAACCTGGGACACCTGACCCAAGCTGGGACACCTGACCCAAGCTGGGACACCTGACCCAACCTGGGACACCTGACCCAAGCTGGGACACCTGACCCAAGCTGGGACACCTGACCCAAGCTGGGACACCATGTCTAAGTTGGCTAATTAATTATCGTGAAAATATAATTGAGCAATTGTAACTATAATTATTGAGAAAATCTGTGAGGTGGGCTGTAACTGGCGAGCAAGGCACTGCCAGCCCCAGACTCTACCATCACTGACCAGACAAAAGCTATACAACCTGATGCCTACTGCCTCAGTGGATGTTCTCATTGATGTATATCACATTAGTGTGACTCGTGTGTAATAATAATAATAATAATAATAATATTATTATTATTGTTATTATTATTATTATTATTATTATTATTATTATTATTATTATTATTATTATTATTATTATTATTATTATTATTATTATTATTATTATTATTATTATTAATTTTTTATGGGATAAAACCCCACACTTGTGTCTGGACGCACATCTGCTGTGCCAGGTAAGGCCACTACGGGCTCACCATAGCCCGTGCTACTGAATCTAAAACAACAACAACAACACACTTGTGTATTTGTGAAATATACATAAAGAATTTACACCAAGTCTTTTAAACATCAATTTCTTTCTTTATTATGCACCCCATACCCATCCCGTGGGCGGTGGTGTAAAGGGTTACAGAGGCACATAATCGGTTCAGGAACTGAACCCTCTAGTTCGTTTAGCTAAGCAAATAACAATCTTTTGACGCTAGTTACAAAATTGTTAATGTTATACATACATGTACACATACTCATACATACATGTACATCTATATACGTATACGTATATATACATACACATACATATTTAATCACCCAGACAAAGACACACATCAATAATCTTTTGTGTCACAAGTGATTCAACAAGAGGCTCACAACAGTCACTATACAAGGCACTTTACATCTATGGTGAGTCACACAGTTACTAGTCTTGCTCCACACCCACTCAACTGGGCGGCAGCTTTACAGTCATGTGCTCCACACCCACCCAACTGGGCGGCAGCTTTACAGTCATGTGCTCCACACCCACTCAACTGGGCGGCAGCTTTACAGTCATGTGCTCCACACCCACCCAACTGGGCGGCAGCTTTACAGTCATGTGCTCCACACCCACCCAACTGGGCGGCAGCTTTACAGTCATGTGCTCCACACCCACCCAACTGGGCGGCAGCTTTACAGTCATGTGCCCCACACCCACCCAACTGGGCGGCAGCTTTACAGTCATGTGCTCCACACCCACCCAACTGGGCTGCGGCTTTACAGTCATGTGTAGCATTACCTTCAGTAAGCAAATTTTGGATACTTCGCCAAGATTTCGGGCAGCACATCATTATGAATGAAGTACTTACACATTTCTTGGACACTATTGATGGTGTTATCTCTAAATTCCACGATTTTTTCACATTCCATTATATAATGACGCAAAGTATGCGAATAGGTCTGCTGACAGAGTTTACATTTAGTCAAATCTACATCAGCAGATGTTACAAATTCCCAGAGGTACTTGTAGCCGAGCCTAAGCCTAGTAGTGGTAACATCTAGAAGTCTGCTAACCTTATTGGATGACCCATAGACGTGCGGTACTTCCTGCATAATAGAATGATGATAGATGGAGCAACTGGTGTGAATTTCACTTTGCCTCAAGTCTCCGAAATTTAGTTGATGTTCCCGGAATATTGCTGCCCTCAGGCTGCTCAAAGGCAGTCCAAGTTGGTAATCAATTCCCTCTTTACGAGCAAAAGTCTTCGCTAACTCATCAGTTCTATCATGCATTCGGAGACCAATATGGGAAGGAATCCACAGGAGACAAAACTCTGACTCCATCATTGATTATTTCATTATATCTGTATCTAGCTTCAGAGATAAGCACGCCACAGTTATGCCTTGGGGAGCTGAGGGCAGTCAAGGATGACAAGGAGTCACTTACAATGAGCGTGTCAACTTTGGATTCATATACGCGCTCGAGTGCAAGGATTATGGCAACCAATTCTGTTTGAAGAGTGGAGGCCCAGTTACTTAGACGCGCTCCACACTCATGGGAGAAGGAACCATCTCTCCCTGTCACAACAACTGTATTTCCAGCTGCACCATAGGACTATCTACATGTACAAAACCTTGTTCCTAAATGCTAATCTTGATTTGAAACTTTTCCCTTGATAGATGTAACAGAACCCATGAGCACCACACCAGAAATAAATATATCTTTGATATCCCCAGAGTCAGACGAAATCCGTGCAAACACTCCATGCAAATAAAAGGGCCCAGTCTTTGGAACTGATGAATTAAAAAAAAATATCCAACCATGTCTTATTCAAAAGTAAAACCAAAAAGTACCTAATTTCATCCTCATAGTTTCCTACCTTGTGCTTCAAGCTCACACTGTATCTTGTACTACTCACTTCCCCTATATTAGTACCTAAGACATATATCTTTACCAGTGTAATCACCTCTCTCACCTTATATTGTAGTTATTTGATGATATAAAAACTTTGCTACAATGTTCCCTTTCATCTTACCGGATATGTTATATTAAAGACCTGTCCGAAACGCTATGCGTGTTTGGGGCGCTGCATGAATGTACAAATAATAATGTTATGTAATCTCACAATGTCATTATACCGTCTTGTGAATAAGATTGTTATTATTATGTAAGTCTCGTCGTAATCGATTAGACGTTGAGATTAAGTCTCGTCGTGACCACACACTCAGACCTTGATGAAACACTCAGGAGTGTGAAACACTTGGTGTGGGTTCCTTACATAAATTGTACACATACACAGGTGTGGGTATTTATCCTATGTTATTATGTCTGTGAGAACACATTACCATGAATGATTATTATTATTATTATTATTATTATTATTATTATTATTATTATTATTATTATTATTATTATTATTATTATTATTATTATTATTATTATTATTATTATTATTATTATTATTATTATTATTATTATTATTATTATTATTATTATTATTATTATTTACTACACTGAGAAGCTATATTAACGTGATACATCAAAAATCAAATCTACACGAGTCTTGATGAGGGTTCGAATCTACGCGCGGAGTGTTTCCAGACGCGCTCTAGTCAACTGCACCACCACATGGTCAAATAATTGTAACCTGGAATGCCACTGTACCCACGAGGGTCCCGAGGCTTCTACTGAAGCCTAACCGAAGTTTCACACAATCCCCCGAGTGCCGGAGTCCCCGGACAGAACCCGAGTGCATGGAGGGATTTGTGTGAAACCTCGGTTAGGCTTCAGTGGAAGCCTCAGGACCCTTGTGGGTGCTGTAGCACTCCAGGTTGCAATTATTTGACCATGTGGTGGTGCAGTTGACTAGAGCGCGTCTGGGAACACCCAGCGCGTAGATTCGAACCCTCATCAAGGCTCATGTGGATTTGTTCAGTATTATTATTATTAGTAGTATTAGTAATACTATTCACTATGATTACCGCGGGGAAGGTGTGGTTGAGGCGAGTGAAGAGCGTGAAGGTGGTGCCAATGTGGTCGGGTGCCATGGGCGCCTTGACGACGGGCCTGGAGGTGTTGAGCCAGGGCGCCCTCAGGGAGAAGCAGGTGGTGACGCCGTACACCGGCCAGCACTCTGTAGGAGGAGGGCAGGGAGGGCGCCGCTCAGCTGCTGCTCAGGTCTACTCTCACATGTTCCAGGACCAGCTCATGTGGGGTCGTGTGCGGGGGGGGGGGGGAGGGAGGGTACAGGTGTGGTGGTGCACACACTGTGAGCCGTGTGCACCCCGTGTACCCTGCAGGGTACCCTGCACCCGTACTGATTGGCACTGTGGCCGTACCAACTGCCACTGTGGTCAAACTGACTGGTAGTGAGGTCGTACTAACGGCAGTAGTGAAAACATACACTCACTGTATGTGGTCTACTGACTGGCAGTGTGATCTACTGACTGGCAGTGTGGCCTACTGACTGGCAGTGTGGTCTACTGACTGCCAGTGTGGTCTACTGACTAGTCGTGTGGTCTACTGACTGCCAGTGTGGTTGTACTAACAGTGTGGTCTACTGACTGGCAGTGTGGTCTACTGACTGCCAGTGTGGTCTACTGACTGGCCGTGTGGTCTACTGACTAGCAGTGTGGTCTACTGACTGCCAGTGTGGTCTACTGACTGGCCGTGTGGTCTACTGACTGGCAGTGTGGTCTACTGACTGCCAGTGTGGTCTACTGACTGGCCGTGTGGTCTACTGACTGGCAGTGTGGTCTACTGACTGGCCGTGTGGTCTACTGACTGGCAGTGTGGTTGTACTAACAGTGTGGTCTACTGACTGGCCGTGTGGTCTACTGACTGGCAGTGTGGTTGTACTAACAGTGTGGTCTACTGACTGGCAGTGTGGTCTACTGACTGGCCGTGTGGTCTACTGACTGACAGTGTGGTTGTACTGACAGTGTGGTCGTACTAACAGTGTGGTCGTACTGACAGTGTGGTTGTACTGACAGTGTGGTCGTACTAACAGCGTGGTTGTACTGACAGTGTGGTTGTACTGACAGTGTGGTCGTACTGACAGTGTGGTTGTACTGACAGTGTGGTCGTACTAACAGTGTGGTCGTACTAGCAGTGTGGTTGTACTGACAGTGTGGTCGTACTAACAGTGTGGTCGTACTGACAGTGTGGTTGTACTGACAGTGTGGTCGTACTGACAGTGTGGTTGTACTGACAGTGTGGTCGTACTAACAGTGTGGTCGTACTAGCAGTGTGGTTGTACTGACAGTGTGGTCGTACTAACAATGTGGTCGTACTAACAGTGTGGTTGTACTGACAGTGTGGTCGTACTAACAGTGAGGTCGTACTAACAGTGTGGTTGTACTAACAGTGTGGTTGTACTGACAGTGTGGTCGTACTGACAGTGTGGTCGTACTGACAGTTTGGTCGTACTAACAGTGTTGTTGTACTAACAGTGTGGTCGTACTGACAGTGTGGTCGTACTAACAGTGTGGTCGTACTAACAGTGTGGTCGTACTGACAGTGTGGTCGTACTGACAGTGTGGTCGTACTAACAGTGTGGTTGTACTAATAGTATGGTCGTACTAAAAGTGTGGTCGTACTGAAAGTGTGGTCGTACTGACAGTGTGGTTGTACTGACAGTGTGGTCGTACTGACAGTGTGGTCGTACTAACAGTGTGGTCGTGCTAAAAGTGTGGTCGTACTGACAGTGTGGTCGTACTAACAGTGTGGTCGTACTAACAGTGTGGTCGTACTAACAGTGTGGTCGTACTGGCAGTATAGTCGTACTAACAGTGTGGTCGTACTAAAAGTGTGGTCGTATTGACAGTGTGGTCGTACTGACAGTGTGGACGTGCTAACAGTGTGGTCGTACTGACAGTGTGGTCGTACTAACAGTGTGGTCGTAATGACAGTGTGGTCGTACTAACAGTGTGGTCGTACTGACAGTGTGGTCGTGCTAACAGTGTGGTCGTACTAACAGTGTGGTCGTACTACCAAACAGTGTGGTCGTACTGACAGTGTGGTCGTACTGACAGTGTGGTCGTACTAACAGTGTGGTTGTACTGACAGTGTGGTCGTACTGACAGTGTGGTCGTACTGACAGTGGGGTTGTACTAACTAACAGTGTGGTTGTACTAACTAACAGTGTGGTCGTACTAACAGTGTGGTCGTACTGACAGTGTGGTCGTACTAACAGTGTGGTTGTACTGACAGTGTGGTCGTACTGACAGTATGGTTGTACTAACAGTGTTGTCGTACTGACAGTGTGGTCGTACTGACAGTATGGCCGTACTAACAGTGTGGTCGTACTAACAGTGTGGTCGTACTGACAGTGTGGTTGTACTAACTAACAGTGTGGTTGTACTAACTAACAGTGTGGTCGTACTAACAGTGTGGTCGTACTGACAGTGTGGTCGTACTAACAGTGTGGTTGTACTGACAGTGTGGTCGTACTGACAGTATGGTTGTACTAACAGTGTTGTCGTACTGACAGTGTGGTCGTACTGACAGTATGGCCGTACAAACAGTGTGGTCGTACTAACAGTGTGGTCGTACTGACAGTGTGGTCGTACCGACAGTGTGGTCGTACTAACAGTGTGGTCGTACTAACAGTGTGGTCGTACTGACAGTATGGTCGTACTAACAGTGTGGTCGTACTAACAGTGTGGTCGTACTAACAGTGTGGTCGTACTAACAGTGTGACTGTACTAACAGTGTGGTCGTACTGGCAGTGTGGTCGTACTAACAGTGTGGTCGTACTAACAGTGTGGCTGTACTAACAGTGTGGTCGTATTAACAGTGTGGTCGTACTAACAGTGTGGTCGTACTAACAGTGTGGTCGTACTGACAGTGTGGCCGTACTGATAGTGTGGTCGTACTAACAATGTGGTCGTACTGACAGTGTGGTCGTACTGACAGTGTGGTCGTACTGACAGTGTGGTCGTACTGACAGTGTGGTCGTACTGACAGTGTGGTCGTACTAACAGTGTGATTGTACTGACAGTGTGGTCGTACTGACAGTGCGGTCGTACTAACAGTGTGGTCGTACTAAAAGTGTGGTCGTACTGACATTGTGGTCGTACTAACAGTGTGGTCGTACTAACAGTGTGGTCGTACTGACAGTATAGTCGCACTAACAGTGTGGTCGTACTAAAAGTGTGGTCGTACTGACAGTGTGGTCGTACTGACAGTGTGGTCGTGCTAACAGTGTGGTCGTACTGACAGTGTGGTCGTACTAACAGTGTGGTCGTACTGACAGTGTGGTCGTACTGACAGTGTGGTCGTACTAACAGTGTGGTCGTACTAACAGTGTGGTCGTACTACCAAACAGTGTAATCGTACTGACAGTGTGGTCGTACTAACAGTGTGGTCGTACTGACAGTGTGGTCGTACTAACAGTGTGGTTGTACTGACAGTGTGGTCGTACTGACAGTGTGGTCGTACTAGCTAACAGTGTGGTCGTACTGACAGTGTGGTCGTACTAACAGTGTGGTCGTACTGACAGTGTGGTCGTACTAACAGTGTGGTTGTACTGACAGTGTGGTCGTACTGACAGTATGGTTGTACTAACAGTGTGGTCGTACTGACAGTGTGGTCGTACTGACAGTATGGCCGTACTAACAGTGTGGTCGTACTAATAGTGTGGTCGTACTGATAGTGTGGTCGTACCGACAGTGTGGTCGTACTAACAGTGTGGTCGTACTAACAGTGTGGTCGTACTGACAGCATGGTCGTACTAACAGTGTGGTCGTACTAACAGTGTGGCCGTACTAACAGTGTGGTCGTACTAACAGTGTGGCTGTACTAACAGTGTGGTCGTACTAACAGTGTGGCTGTACTAACAGTGTGGTCGTACTGACAGTGTGGCCGTACTGACAGTGTGGTCGTACTGACAGTGTGGTCGTACTGACGGTGTGGTCGTACTAACAATGTGGTCGTACTGACAGTGTGGTCGTACTGACAGTGTGGTCGTACTGACAGTGTGGTCGTACTAATAGTGTGGTCATACTAACAATGTGGTCGTACTGACAGTGTGGTCGTACTGACAGTGTGGTCGTACTAAAAGTGTGGTCGTACTGAGAGTGTGGTCATACTAACAGTGTGATTGTACTGACAGTGTGGTCGTACTGACAGTGTGGTCGTACTAACAGTGTGGTCGTACTAAAAGTGTGGTCGTACTGACAGTGTGGTCGTACTAACAGTGTGGTCGTACTAACAGTGTGGTCGTACTGACAGTATAGTCGCACTAACAGTGTGGTCGTACTAAAAGTGTGGTTGTACTGACAGTGTGGTCGTACTGACAGTGTGGTCGTGCTAACAGTGTGGTCGTACTGACAGTGTGGTCGTACTAACAGTGTGGTCGTACTGACAGTGTGGTCGTACTGACAATGTGGTCGTACTAACAGTGTGGTCGTACTGACAGTGTGGTCGTGCTAACAGTGTGGTCGCACTAACAGTGTGGTCGTACTAACAGTGTGGTCGTACTAACAATGTGGTCGTACTACCAAACAGTGTGGTCGTACTGACAGTGTGGTCGTACTGACAGTGTGGTCGTACTGACAGTGTGGTCGTACTGACAGTGTGGTCGTACTGACAGTGTGGTCGTACTAACAGTGTGGTCGTACTGACAGTGTGGTCGTACTAGCTATCAGTGTGGTTGTACTGACAGTGTGGTCGTACTAACAGTGTGGTCGTACTGACAATATGGTTGTACTAACTAACAGTGTGGTCGTACTAACAGTGTGGTCGTACTGACAGTGTGGTCGTACTGACAGTGTGGTCGTACTGACAGTGTGGTCGTACTGACAGTATGGTTGTACTAACTAACAGTGTGGCCGTACTAACAGTGTGGTCGTACTAACAGTGTGGTCGTACTAACAGTGTGGTCGTACTGACAGTGTGGTCGTACTAACAGTGTGGTCGTACTGACAGTATGGTTGTACTAACAGTGTGGCCGTACTAACAGTGTGGTCGTACTGACAGTGTGATCGTACTAACAGTGTGGTCGTACTAACAGTGTGGTCGTACTGACAGTGTGGTCGTACTGACAGTATGGTTGTACTAACAGTGTGGTCGTACTAACAGTGTGGTCGTACTAACAGTGTGGGCGTACTAACAGTGTGGCCGTACTAACAGTGTGGCCGTACTAACAGTGTGGTCTTACTGACAGTG